TGGGGGCGTGGGGCTGCTTAGCGGCGAGCTGATCAGCGGGCGGGTAGGCAGAATGGAAAAGCTGTAGGAAGATAGGGAAGACTAGCCTTCCCTCTCTTCATATGGAGGACGAATAAAAATGGGGTAATATTCTTCCCTTCATGTTTGTTAAGGTCTCGGGAATCCACGAATATGGACAAATATTTAACGGATCAGCAATTTCTGACACATATCGCCATCCGGTTTTTTTAATTTGTCATGAGTAGACATGGGGACAATGTCCAGAGGGAGCATTTTCCTCCTCCTCCTCCTCCTCCTCACCTCTCACCCCTTTCTCTCTCTCTCTAGCACTTCTGCCATCCATGATCAAGAGGAGGAAAGGACACCTTGTTGTGATTAGCAGCGTTCAAGGGAAATTTGGCCTGCCTTTCCGGTCTGCATGTAAGTCCTTCCAGCACAAGCTTTAGGAGGTTTTGAGCATCAGCAGTTTCTGCACACTGTTGGTTCTGAAGTGCCAACATGCAAGAACTTCCTTCCTGTGCTTTAAACAGATTACTAGTGTTAAGGGCAAGCACGGGGACATCGCCTTCTCCCATCATCCCCACAGTTGAGACTTGCACGTCTTCAAGGAACTGTGTGTAGCTTCTGCAGCCAACTTCACAAGCAACCCAATCACTTTTAGAACAGCAGTATTTATTTAAAGTGTTTTATTTAAAGTTTTATTTATTTACACTTTTCTGCCTGCTGTGGCTCCCAAAGGGATGTACAATAATATAATTAAAACGTTCTTCCTAAAACAGGTTGAAAACTGTTTAAAAAAAAAAAACAATTTTAACCACCTCTTCTACAGGCCAAACAAAATAACAGTTTTGGCCACCTGCTACAAGTTCAGCAAGCCGGGAGCCAGCCTGGCTTACCTTAGGAAGGGACTTCACAGTCAAAGCCCCCTCTTGGCTACTTCTCAGCAGGGCCTCTTGGTGGACAGGCTAAGCTTCCCTTGATTCCAGAGAATTAGAAATAGAGATGGGCCACACTAGAGGTTCATGCCACACGTACAAACTGGCATGAATTTCCAAACCAAAATCCGTGCCCATCTCTAGTTAGAAGGGAACAAGGTTGAATAGCCACGATCCTTTGCTTGCAAAGCCACCACGGGCAGCTGTTGTCATCCCTTGTGATGGTCCCGCAAAGAACCCATTGGATCTTGATCAGAAGCAAAAGCTCCAGCTCAGCCACTTGGGTATATATGACCCACAAGGGTGTTGCACGCTGTGTGTGAGAAAAGACAGCCGTGTCTGGCCAGAGACCTAGAGAGTGGTGACCGAGATTGTGTCCGTGTTGGGTTTTCTAGATGCAGCTTCCAAGCACGCTACCCAAGCTTTTTTTGACTGCCTGCGAGCAGAGGTGGAGCAATATGGGATTGACGTGACCGTCGTGAGCCCCAGCTATATTCAGACGAACCTGTCCCTGAATGCCATCACAGCAGACGGATCCCAGTATGGAGGTGAGGACTGCTTTTGCCCGTGTCATTCAAGTATCTCTGCTGAGACAGAAAAGTTGCCATTGGGGGAGCAGAGGAAGAGAGAGAGAGAGAGAGAGAATTCCCCGGGTTGTTGACACAGGTCCAGAAATAATCATACAGAAGCCAATTCCTCTCTTGGGCTTGTTTCTCATTGCTTCAGGGATGCTTGACAGCCCCTGCGGAACAGCAAAGGCGATTCCTGCCTATCCTTCCCTGAAATCTATGGGCTGAATTTTTTAAAATGAGACAGCCTATTCCAAGATCATGACGCCGGGGGCAAGAGGCAATTCAGTTGCCTGTTGTGGAGCTCAGAAGTGACTTTTCTTGGAACAACTTCATGCAGGCTGGGGTGTTCTGGGACCCACCTTCCAAAGAAAACAGATTTTTCTATCTATGGCCTGTTACATCCAACTATTATTTGTGGTTCCGAGACATTCATGTGCTTTTTCTTCATTTCAGTGATGGACAAGACAACCAGCAAAGGCAAGGCAGCTGCTGATGTGGCTCAGGCGGTTCTCAACGCGGTGGGAGAAAAGAAGGAGGAGGTGCTGGTGGCTGGCATTGTCCCTTCCCTGGCAGTCTACCTCCGAGCGCTGTGGCCCAGGTTGTTTTTCACCTTGATGGCATCTAGAGCCCGAAAGGAGACAAAAGCCAAGGATTCTTAGCCCAACAGGGAATCTGCTCAACCCTCTGTCAAATTTCTGACTGCAAGACCGAGCTGTCAAGGGTCCATGAGAGGCATGAACATGGTGTGCCTTGTATATCCCTTTTTTCGTGAACAGTTGAATCCAAGCTTGTACAGCATGCCATCTTGAAGAACGTGACAGAAGAAAGATTTTATCTCTTGAGAGGAAAAGATCTTGACCAGAGGGCAGTTTGCACATTGAAATAAACAACGGCTGCCCTCATAGCTCACCTCCCAATCACTTATGTTGGGGCAGATGCAGCAAGCAGCTTGCTAGTAAGAGCTTAGTATTCTCAACGGCTTCTTGGCTGTTCGCATTGCCTGCATTTAGCCCTGGCAATGAGGGGAAAGTACAGGATTCCTGCTGTCTCTACCATTGTTTCTCCTGAACAAACAGAACCCTTTGCAGATGGCATCTATCCAGAGAAAGAACACTTTATATTATTATTTTGACTACCCAAATTCTTCAGCCAGTATGGCCAAATGCAGCTTCTCCAAAGCTCTGATCTTTACATTAGAGGGAGGTTCAGGCAAACAGCTGAAATTAAAGCAGTTCATGTTATGCATCTTTGCCCTGTTGCACTTTGTACATTTTTATCCAGTAATTAGAAACCAGGGACCCCCTTCAGGTCACTCCTCACTGTGACTCTCACCCCCTCCTCCACTTCACAGTGCTTGTTCGAACAGCCCGAGGAGCCGTGTGCTCCTCCTTAACTTCAGGGCTTGTCCTGGGGAGGAGGGGGATGGAAGCATGGCAGGATAAATGCTGGAAAGGGATGTACTTAGAATTCTGTGACACAGGAATTGAGGAATCATGTGTGCTAGAATTATGGTGAGGTGGGAAGGCAGAACTTAACAGATTAAAGGACCCACCATAACATTTTTAAAAGGTTTTGTCTCTTCATGCGACAATTTCGTGGACTTAGTGGGCAAGGTAAGAATTCCAGCATCTTGTGCCTGAATCTCTTGACACGAGCAGCATACTAACTCCACCATGAAGACTTTTACTACACTTTAGGCCAGAGCAGTCTCTGGATCAGCCAGCCCAGCAACTGTTAAGGACTACCACATTAAGCTGTGTCTGACATGATAAATATGGGCAGGCACATGGACCGATTTTTGTCTCAATTGCTACAAAGAACGGTTGACATTTGTGGCAATATTTCTTCATCAGTGCTGAAACTTAAAGGGGCATCCTTTGGTGTGCTTATGGAGGCAAGAATGCCAGCTTGCCTGATGGTTGTTACCAGCCCTAAACACCTCTGCTTTGTTGGGGGGGGGGCACACACCACACCCTTTGGTAGCAGGAGCAGCCTTCCCTGCTGATCCCATTTTGGCAACTCTCCACAGTCATATACCATACCCTTTCTGCTACCAGCTTCAAAAATTATTTCAAAACCAGAATTTTCCATAACCAATACAATAATTCATTCCTAACATATTTTGAACACAGTCTCTGTACTGTCAGTAATACATATAAAACCAAAAACCCAGTCCCTTCTGTCGTCACCCTTTTACCATCTGCTTTCCTGCACTGGGAGTACCTTGTGACAATACATAGCAGATCTGTGCATTTTTGTAAAAAAAATTGAGTATATATAAGTGAGCATTAATCATGCTTGGAATATATCTTTTGTTGCATTTTCCACCTTGGTATTACAGAGGGAAATGCTGTACTGAATACTATAGGAATGTCTAGCCCTACAGTGGTACTCAAGTAGACTCATGCAGCCAATATGATGGCTGCTTTCAGACAGTGTTTTTATTCGTAGGAAGGAGACAGGGATACATTTTTTTTTGTTTGAAACCATCCCTGGTTTCCCTTTCTGCTGCTTCCTGCCAACAAAAAGATAACATCTGGAGGGAACATGCATTGAAGGAGAAGCGGCACAATGTCTTTTCAGGGATGTAGTGATGCGAAGAATTCTCACCAATGTTGCGTTTCTTGGCCAGACACGATGTCTCGGCACAAGGAAGGCCTACCAAGAATTTACCACAACCCTAAGAGTTTTCACCTCCAGGATGAGAGTGATATCACCAGCGCTTTCCTTCTGCTAGCCTGAATGTGTCTGTTTTGCTCAAATGTGGCAGACAGACTATCCAATACTTACATGCTTTAAACATCCATTTAACAGCAGCTTCAAGCGTTGCACACAAAATTAAAACAATTTAAAAAAATCTGCACCAACCACTGCCCCAAGTCGTCATTGTCTCACAACAAGAATAATTTTGTCTTCCATTTACTGCACAAGAACAAAACAACGGAATCTGTGTCCCTAGAATGATGGCATCAGGAGCCTTCTCACCAAAAAAGCTACCAGATGACAAGCCTTAAGTCAAACTGACCTACTGAACAGGACTGACAGCAAGCTCCCTGCGTGCTGTACAACATCTCAGGGGCTAAAGATAGCCTTGTGTTCCGCCTCTGGCCTTGAGAGAGATGCCATTTCAAGGCCAACTCTCTTCATAGCACAAAGGTCAGGTTGCAGCTACCATGTTAAGCAAGGGAACATACCTGTATAGAGGCAGAGTCCAGATCACCCATTTCCATCCTCGGGTTCAAATCCTGCACTAAAGAAAGTCAGATCCTAGGCAAGAGCCTTGTCAAAAAGGGGGGGTTGCTAAAGTTATTTTAAGGTTCGTCAGCTAAAAACTGGGTGATTAAACAAAAATTAAAAGCGAAAGGCAACTTCTGCACATAGCAACACAGAAATAAATGCATCTCAAAGGCAGCTCTCCCTCAACCTCCCAATTCATGCTACATAGTGTGAGAAGAGAGAAAGGCACAACCTATGGGATGCAATATAAGGAGTAGTAGATGTGAGAACGGTAGGGGAGAACTAAAGAATGGATTTTTGTTTTCTGTGCAGTGAGAGCTCAGCAGCAGTTCAGGTAAATCAGCACACATGAATAGGAACAACTCAAGCCAAATTTTGTAGTTAGGTCCACATTGCTTATCCTTTTTTTTTTCTCCTTCAGAAAATATAGAAGCGCTCCCAGCTCCAAACAGCTTAGAAAAGGAAGGAAGAAGTGACAAGCGGTGGCAACTCAGGGGAATTCATTTGCTTGCTTATAACATCTGTGGTAGAAAAACAGAGGAAAAATGAACAGAGCTCCCTCATGTTGTCTGGAAACGTTCAAACAGCACATGATTCACTAGGTTTGGGTGTTCAGAGCTGAAAACAATTGGGACTATATTCACAAATAGCACCCGCAAACCTAACCTGCTACAGGACATAATGAAAAGTGCCACGTGAAAGAATTTTTCACAGGACGGCCAAACTCATTGTAACAACTATTTGATTCAAGCACGTTCACATGCCATGGAGAATTATTCCACCAGGCTGAACAGACAACATGTGGCTCTTCAGATTTTGCACTGCAGGTCCCACCAGCTAGTGGGAGCTGGCAGGAGATGTGGCCCATTTACCTACTGCTCAGTGTAACTCTTGCAATGTTTCTTAAACTTTTCTCCATTTCAACAATCACTGAACTCTTGGCAAACCCCATCAAAAGGGGCATGGCTTATTTTCTTACATTCAAGTATAAACAATAGAAAAATGGAAACTTTTGAGGGGAAACAAGAGCATTGAACCCACAACATTAAAGAAGGCAATGCACCTTTACTCTTGTTCAGGGAGGTGGGGTATCAGGACAGTCTTTCTAGTGGCCTACTTACAATGCCTCTCAAAATTATAACTGATGTTAGAACTGCAGCCCTCCTCATAAATTATCCCTCCTCCTTGACCAGCAACTCTGGAACCAAAAAATAAAGCAAACAATGTGAAATTCTCATCCTTTAATGAATGGTCAGTGATAACTTTTGAGCTGGTTCTGTAGAATACAATTAGACAGTATACTTAAAAGTTTCTTCCAAAAAAAAAAAAAAAAAAGAGCTAACACTTCCTCCCCCTCTCCTGTTTTCATTGCCTTTCGTTGACATTCCATTCCTGATTTCAGCTCCCACAGGTTTCCATTTCACTGCAGATCCATATCAGAGGTGTAAGAAAGAACGAACCCGGGGCCAAAAAAGAAAAAAAAAAAACCTTGATGCACCAATGCTGTATTTTAAAAATAACAAAAAAGAAAAAAAAATCTGGAAAAACCAAACTGCTTCCCAGGCACTGCCACTTCAAGAGGAAAAAAGTTAAATGTTACTGTGGGAGTCTTAGTATGCTTTTTGTCTTTGCAGGGGTCATCCCCCCCTTATTCCACCCCCCTGCAGCAATCATACAGCGTAGAGTTCATAAATCTTCTTTACACAGTACACCAGGGCAGCGAGTGCTATCGTGTTATGCAGTCTCTTTCTGTGCAGGTCATCCTTCCTCACCAGCACTACCGGCGTGGAGGAGGTGAGCGTATGCAGGGGCAGACGAGAAAGTTTATAAGCGTTATACTCCACTTGGTACTTGCAACAGGGGTCGAATTGCCAAGAGATCCCATAGAGGGTGCAGCAGGCTATGCTCAGCACACCGGCCGGCAAGGAGATGTAATGGGAATAATCTACGGGAAGGGCCAGCGGGCTGAAGAGGCAGGCGGTCCCCGCCAGCACGGTGGTCTTGTGCAGGCAGTTCCCCACGGTGATCCAGCGGGCCGTCTCGTCTCCAATGCGCGTCGGCTCGATCACAATGTATTTATACTGGGCCTCCAAGGCTTGTTCCAGCTCATACTCAAACTGGTCCTGAGCATTCTCCCCATTGTAGATTTCATGAACAATGTAACAGTCTGTGGCCGACAAGGTGACCCTGGTAGAAGGAGAGACAGAGAGTTATGGGGTTGTGTGAACAGGCCATCCCCTCTGTTCACCTTCTCTGCAAAACCCGTTAAGTCTTTTGCATTCATCTCATGCTTTTTTGTTTTTTAAAGGTTTGTGGGGGGGGAACCTATGTAATCAGGATCGGGCAGAACAGGTAGCAGACAGGGTGGTTAGAAATCACTGGTTTTTTTTAAAAAAAATCAAATTGATTTAAATCATTATTTAAATCAAAAACATTGCTTTTTTAAAATTTAAATTGTCAGAAAAAAAATCACTTTTTAAAATTTACACCATGAGCAATCAACATTCTCACTGGAAATTAGCAAGGTTGCAAAATAAATGAATAAACAAATAAACACATGGTGCTTGTTTAGCAAAGCTGGAAAAACAGGTGATCTGGTTATTCACAAATGGTAAACAAAAAAGCAGGAAGGAGAAAAACTTGAACAACATGACCTCCCATTACTTAGGACTACCACACCCACTGTTATTATAGTCACAATTAAAACTGCTGGATAGCTCACTGGTTTAAGTATCTAGCTACAGAGCCAGAGGTTGGGAGCTCGATTCCCCACTGGGTCTCCTTGACCGGGGCTGGACTTCATGATCCATAAGGTCCCTTCCAGCTCTGCAGTTCTAAGATTATGTTTATCATCCTCATCTCCTATGAGACAGGAACAAAAATATTGTTCTGTCTCTCTTATGATGCTGGCCCTAAGGAATTCAGACTTTCTCCCCACCAAATCTGACATCAACAGTGCCTTCCTATTTAATTCCAAAATTACTGTTTTATGGACTTTGTGGCTCTTTGCTTTTTAGACATAGTAAGGAAGACTGCCTACAGGCAGAGAGTTTTTTCTGTGCTCTGTTCACTGATATATTAGAGATGGCTGCAAATATTGCATTCCCTCACTACGCTTAGCGTATAGTTCATTTTTTAAAAACCAATTATTCTACTTATTTAATAGGTAGGAAGTTGACAGAGACCAGTTGGCCAGAGAAGAACTGTACTGAATTTAAAACATGTACACTTTATGTGATGAGATACAATTCCCAAAACACAAGATATAATCAACTGCTCTACGTTTATGGGAAGAGGTCATTTCCAGTTTACTGCTCCATATTATTAATTGCATCTATTTCCCACCCTCCCTTCAACAAACTCAAGCTGTGTACATGGCTCCACCGTCTTTATCCTGTCATCAACTGTTGCCAATCCATTTTATTTGTTTATTTAAAATATATTTACCCCACTTTTCTCTTTTAAAAGAACCCAAAACAGCTTACATTTATAAAAGACAACATTTAAAGCTAAAAACAGGGTCAGCCTGTGAGACTGTGACTAGCCCAATATCCGGCAATATCAAGCCGCCTAGAGTGGTTGTAGGACCAGATTGGGGGTGGGGGGTGGGTACAAATAAAATAAATAAATTTGGACCCACACATTTTCTGTGAGACTTATTCCCATGTGCAATATCTAAACAACTATATCCCAACAGGGAAGAAGATGAGGCAAAGTTGGGAACCCTGTTAACCACAAAATATATTTATGGATGACCTCAGGCCAAGGATAAAGCTGTCTGACATCATCACAAGCAGGTCTCAGGTTTGAGAACAATAAGTGATTAGCGTACACAGGACTGAAATATTAAGATGGTTCAGAGATATCTGAAGGACTCCCCACTTTCTGTCCTGGGAAGCCAGGAAAACTCACTGCTAAGTGGCTATCAGCCAATTTTGACACAATATCAAGAGCTGATGGTCACTATTGTTTATCTGACTTTGCAAACAATGGAGCAAGTGGGTGTGCATGTGTATTTTTAAAGAGATATCAAGATGCAAAGAATGACTCCCCCACCACACTTACTTAGGAGCTTTTTATTGAACAAAGCAGCAGCTGTGAACAAAATCTTTTATGCAGAGATATTGCAAACCTATTCTGCTGTCGTTCTAATTGGAGACTGAAGAAACCTTTCTAATGGTGGTACTTGGGACAATGTGTGTGCACGTGTGTTCATGTTCAGAATCCATCTGGAATAATGTATGGCTCAAGAACACTGAGAGGAAGGGTGTGAACCTTACCAGAATGGCAAGAACAAAAATAAACACCCAACCCTCTCTTCTCAGCACAGCAGGATGCAAATCTCAAGAAATGTAAAGAGAAACCGACAAAAAAAATATTCACTTCCCTACAACATCCTCCTGGGCAATTTTAAGACCCCACTTTTGCCCATGGCTTCTTCAAACAGTCCACAGTTTCCAGAGAACTAAATGCTGGTACATATTATCCACAGACAAGGTATCAAGCAAAGAACATAAAAAACCTACAAACACACCAGCTTGTTGACTCGGGGAATTTCATGACCTCTTCACAACCCCAATCCCCCTAGCTAGAGATGGAAGAGAATACTGAGCAGCAGCTAAGACTGCAAACCTTACTTGCTAGCATACACACAAGTGTGCCAAGCGTGCGCACACACACACTGAGTTAGAATAATTCTTGGTGAATTATAAATGGACTGATCTGAAAAATCTGAATGTTCTCCTCTCTTCAACCTTTGACCATGTACAGTGGTGCCTCGCATAGCGATTGCTCCGTTTTACGACGAAATCGCTTTGCGATGGACTTTTTGCCATCGCAAGAACGATCGCTTTGCGATGGCCCCTATGGGGAAAATTTGCTTTGCAATGATCGCGGAGAAGTGATCATCGCAAAGCCCCCATTTTCGCACAGCTGATCGGCAGTTCCAAAATGGCCACAGGTAAACAAAATGGCCACCCACTGTTTTGCCTCGCTTTAGAGGCACCGAAAATGGCCGCACCTATGGAGGATTTTCTCATAAGGTGAGTTTTTAAGCCCATAGGAACACATTAAATGCATTTTAATGCGTTTCTATGGGCTTTTAAAAATTGCTTAGCGATGAAATCGCATAGCAGCGATTTTTGCTGCATGGATTAATATCGCTAAGCGAGGCACCACTGTATATGCATGCTCACACAGAAGTTGTAAAGCTTTAATTAACTGACCAGGGCAAATTTTTATCAGCACAAGTGGAAGCTACAGGGTAATGGTCTGAAGCCATTTTGCTCCATAACAATAAAAGGGAATAAATGTATTTATTTATTCAATTTGTATCCTGCTCCCATTAGCTTTGAGGCACTACTCTGAGCAAGTAACAACACATATAGTAGAAAGCAAAAATAAAAACATACATTAAAAGTTGCAGTAGACATATAGTAGAAAACAAAAACATGAAAAGCAGCAACAATAAACCTAAAAAACAGAATGAAAATAGTGAAGCTGGCCTTCTTTTCTAATTCTGAGGGTTGCCTTTTTAATGGTTACTTTGAATTTTATACACTTTCTCATCTAGAAGGAAATCTATCGAGTTCCTAATCCTATTTTTATTTTTAACCCCCTTTTCCCCATCAAATATGTTCAAAGTGGCTTACAATGTAAAATTAAAACACATAATAATACATGTTGTATTAATTGAGGGGGGCATTTTAAAAACAGCACATCCCATTCCCTTAAGAACTCAAGAAAAATAAAATTCAGTCATCACAGACCCCCCGAAACAATTAAAGATGTCAATTACATCTCCGGGAAGGGTGTTCCAAGGTCAAGACACCACCATGAGCACAACAAGAAGCACTAATATCTACATATACATTCTGTACAAATACCATCATTATATTTTGGTACACACAACCATTGTTAAATGATGTTTAGATCCACTTTTTGTCAATGCACGATTTAGATAATAAGACAGATTTATTCTAATGAACAGCAACTGAGAGTAAAACAAACAAGTAAACAAACAAAAAAACAATGGATTCCTGTGACTCTTAGAAGAGAGGAAAACTCCCTTCCAAGCTATTACTGGTGACTTTCAAGGTTAATGTCACATGGTGCAAGTATTTTTTTAAAAAGGCTTTTTAGAGGAATTCCGTGAACTTTGGAATGTCATTACATTCCAACAGTTCTACAGCACTGACAGTTTACATCTGCTTGTCTCACTCACGACTGAGCTGTAACCAACCTTTTTAGATGGGACTGCACTGCCTGAACCAATCAAACACGCATACAAATGGACTGTTCTCTCTGTCTGAAAAACCAGGCTCAAATCCTATTGTGCTCCATACAGAATGTTTCAGCATTAGCTGTGGCTGAAGAATTCACTGTCATCAAACCAGTGTGGGCTTGACAATACTCTCTGAGAAAGCTCCGAACTACAACAATAGCATGGGAACAGAAGATCAGTGCTGAGAGCAGCAAGAAAAATTTTCCCAGAGCCACTGAGCCATAGTCTGCCATTGTCAGCCCATTAATATCAGCGCTGGCATGCAAAGCTATGCTCAAAGAAAGACTGAGGGAGACAGAAATCGCATGCACATGAAGGGAAAACAACAGAGTGAAGAACAGAGCAATAAATGTGAACTGGCACAGTAAAATTTCACTTAGCATGCAGAAGCCCTACGTCCAGAGCCAAATAAAGGACGGCTATTGTGTAGCTTACCCAACTTGAAGGTTCACAATTAATGAGTGAATAATTGGTGTATCACACAAGTAAAGGGCTATGGGCACAACTATGGCATCTTGGAGATTATTCAGAATAAATTATACATGTGGAAGGCCCCACCTCACTGTCATTTTTATAAATAATACCTTCCTTTTTTTTTCTGGCCAGACATTTTATTTTTCTGAATATATGGTTTCAGATAAACTAAATGCACTCTATAGACAAGCTTCCAACACCGTATAAAGCAGATCCTTAGTATCCTACTACCATGGTATAAGGTGCAATTTAGTGAGTTCATGGTCAAAGCCAAGAAATGGACCAGGTCTTTTCTTCATTAAAAACTCATAGCCACCTTCACTGCCATTATGTCACCACTTAATTGAGATTAAAGACTTCTGACCAAACCTGTTTAGGCTTTGGATGTACACTACTAACGACACATTAGCTCGTTTAGAGACAGTGATTTAAATCCCCTTCAAGTTGATGTAAGGTAAATTTACACCTCTGGAAGTGTGCCAGGCCTTACACCCAGGCAGCTAACATTGCACAATTGTGCAACAGATCACATGGCTCACAATGCAACTGTTGCCCAGAACATTTAAAGAAGAATTTCATGGATATTACTTCTATCCTGCCATGACTTCCTCTAACACTTCTGCAGATTTGCACTATATACTTTCACAGCTATGGAACAGGATTTCACCCATAATGTTTGATTCAATAAAAACTACAAGCTGTTCAAACTACGGACAAAACATGCAGATCTGATGGGATAATTTCAAGATCCAACGGTTGCAAGGACATTCCTGTACCTTCTTGCAGCAGCTAGAATGTGCTTCCTCCGCAAGAGCAAACAGCATTCTGTTCTTCAAGGTTATGATCACTGTGGCTGCAAAAACATCATTGAGCTGTAGCATTTTAGTACCTCTGGGGGAAAGGCTGATAGGTTTTCATGTCTGCTTCATTAAAACACAATCCTACACATGCTTTCTTGGGGGGGAGGGAGTCCTACTGTATTCATTGAGGCTTACTCCCAAATAACTGTGTGCATGACTGGAATCTAAAGCACCCTGAAGGGAAAAGGACATGCAAATACCTGGATACCTTTAATAGTTCTCTCAAATTTCCATTTGTCAGGTATGCCAGTTTCTTCATTCTGCCAATGAATCTGTTAATAAACCTGTCAATCTTTATTCTGTGCATTTACTCATCAATTCTACTGGTGGAATAAATCAGGGACAACCATCTGAACAAGCAGATAAAGGCCAAGTTCTGGTCATCACGTGCAGGTATGAAGGTGGACAGTAAAAAAAGATGACAGAAAACCATTAATTCATATTCAAAATGTGGTGCTGGAGGAGAGCTTCATGGATACCCTGGGCTGTCAGAAAGACAAACAAGTGGGTCCTGGATGAAATAAAGCCCGAACTATCTCTGGAGGCAAAGGTGTTGACATTGAGGCTGTCCTACTTGGGGCACATCATGAGAAAGCAAGACTGGAAAAGACAATGATGCTGGGAAAGGTGGAAGGCAGCTGGAAAAGAGGAAGACCCAATGTGAGATGGACTCCCAAAAGGAAGCCACAGACATGAGTTTTCAAGAACTGAGCAGGGCTATTGGGGCCAGGTCATACTGGATATAGTCATTCATAGGGTTGCCGTACATCAAAGGGAACTTGATGATAAATAACACAGGATGGCTCCTATGTTGTTGTTGTTTAGTCGTGTCCAACTCTTAGTGACCCCATGGAACAGAGCACGCCAGGCCTATGTCAGCTACATACAAATAGTGCTGAAAACAATACCCAACTATTATTAGCCAAAGTATTCACTTTCATGTTTTTCTAAATATTTACCCTGTTTCCCTGACAATAAGACAGGGTCTTATATTAATTTTTGCTCCAAAAACACATTAGGGCTTATTTTCAGGGGATTTTTTTTTTCATGTACAACAATCAACATTTATTCAAAGTCATGCCATCTTCTGGTTGCTCCACAACGGTGGAGGGAGGAGTTCCACTTAACTAGGGCTTATTTTTGGGGTAGGGCTTATATTAAAAGCATCCTGAAAAATCCTACTAGGGCTTATTTTCAGGTTAGGTCTTATTTTGGGGAAAACACGGTATGCCTGGGCAAATAGCTTTAATCTTAATTGTGCCTACTGCCAATTTAGAACCAATCATAGTCAAAACCCAAGATATGCAATCCAATGATTATTTGTAACAATTTAGACAATTTAGGTACCTGTACCTTTCATTTTCTATCCACACTGAGTATTTTAAACAACAGCCAAATGCATCAATTTCTAAAATTAAATGTTCGGGGGGGGGGGGAAGCCCCTTGAACACATAAGTGTCTACACATTCTTCCTCTTAGACAGCTCAGTTTTCCATATGCTTTAAAAAATCACAGAACCATTTTCAGATATTTCACTTACTCTGAGTAACATTCTTCTTATGGCGATTTGATAGTTTTAAATTCATTTTGATCTCAAAAACGCATTTCAACTGTTTTTTCTCAAGAGGCAACTATTTGTACATATACTTCAAAGTGTTTATTTCAAAGGTCTCAAATCTATATTTCAAAACAATGCCACTTTTCTTCAATGTTCAAAACCTAATTCTAGACATTTAAGAAGTCCTTGTTCTGTGCTCAAAGTGAGAAATGAAATGAACCACAATAAAAATCAGGGCTGCTTACTGGAAACTCTGTAACTGGGCAGTAGAATAAAAGTTAAAAATGGCAACTGCCAGGTAAAAGTTCTAATGACTAATGTTTAAGATGATGTAAGAAAGTTTAAAATTCAAAGGAATGAATTACAGCACTTGACCTCCAAAGGTTTTAAGACATTTAAATGGAGCCAGCTGAAATACTGCCACAGAACTTCGGAGATGAGTTCCACCACTTCATTCCTTTGTCCACAGAAGCAAAGCAAGCAGCCAGAGGACGGAAAATGCCAAAGCCCGCAACAGCCCCTGGATTAATTCAACACCAGCTCCCAAGTGCACCAAATCCAGAACAATGCATCAACACCCTAAAAAACACAAATCACTCAACCAGCACTAACAGCTGTGCACCAAGAGGTCACTTTCAAAGGACTTTGGGGGACTATTTGCCGCCTTCAAAAATAGATTTTTAAGAGCATCCAAGGACATTTTGAGCCCCAGGCTGAGCCAAACTCTGGGCCTAACATCTGGGAAGGGTGAAAGTCTCCTCCATGCCAAGGGCCAATCTGGAGTGACCTTCCCTTTCTTGCCACTGCCCAAGGCCACTCTTTCTTGCAGCAGCAGGGGTGATTCCCTCTCACACACACACACAAACACACAACACTTGGCCAAGCACACACACACACACACACAAAACACTTGGCCAACCTGCACTGTTTTCTCTCTGAACCCAAAACGTGTGCCATGGAGGCAAGAGCCGGACTCTGCCCTCCATTCAGGAAGGCACAAACTCCACAAGCAAATGCCTTTGGAGCAACCACTTCAACAGCCTCTGGACCTCCATTTCCTGCACCTCCCACCCACTGCTGCCCTATATAACAAGTTCTATTTGGACCTACGCCCTTCTCTCTCACACAGGGCACCCGACTGCCAACTGTTATAACACCCCCACCCTCCCTTTGCATCCCCTTTCCTGCCCTCCACCTTCATGATCTTCCTTTCTTCTCCTCTGGCCTCAATCCCTCACCCTACCAACGCGACCCCAATTCCTTCTCCTCCTGCCCAGGACCCTCCCTGCTGACCCCTCCAACCGTGAAATCCCATCCTGCCCCTACTCCTTCGTGGGCCTCCACAGCGCTTGGCATTACCTGATGCAGCTCTTGCAATAACATGGATTTAAATCATTCTCCAAAGCATTCTGTGCCCGCCACCACCACCCCCATGCCACGTCCTCAACTTCACGGAAATACTAAAGACAGCAACATCCCCCCACCACCGCCCTCAATCCCCTCGTCCTTCCAGCCTGGGCTTCAAGACAGGGCAAAATCCATCTGCACCCACCCACACCCCCTTCAAAGGTTTTTCTCAGCAAAGACTAACGAGGTCCTTTCTGGAACTTGATGATGGGGTGGGGGGGGGCATAGCACCAAACACGTCATTTGCACACCACCAACCACCCCTTCAGTTCCCCACACTGCCTTGCCTCTCCCCCTCAGGGGCCTGCTGCCCAAAGCTTCCACCCTCTCTATTTCCCCTCAAGGCTTGTTCTTATTGTCCCCCTCTTCCCTCCCTCACCCCTTCCCCACAACCTGAAAGGCCACTGAGGACTAGCGCCTTGACGGCTCCCCCCCTTTGTCCTCCACCCTATTTCCCCTCAAGGCTTGTTCTTATTGTCCCCCTCTTCCCTCCCTCACCCCTTCCCCACAACCTGAAAGGCCACTGAGGACTAGCGCCTTGACGGCTCCCCCCCCCTTTGTCCTCCACCCTATTTCCCCTCAAGGCTTGTTCTTATTGTCCCCCTCTTCCCTCCCTCACCCCTTCCCCACAACCTGAAAGGCCACTGAGGACTAGCGCCTTGACGGCTCCCCCCC